TAAGTGGAGTCAGGAAGAAAATTGATGATGTTTGGTTTCGAGGTGCAAAAAAAATTTGCGGATTTTGTAAAATCAGTGAGAAGACAGTGGGAACCCCACAGCCTTTGCACAGATATTTTTCCTGGCGTACCCTTTAGAAGCCTTTAGATGTACATATCAATCATTGGTCATGTCATGCTCTTCTTAGTTGCTGTCTATTTTACTTCATAACCACTTACTCCCAATGAATTCGCGTTTTATTTCACGTTTTACCTTTCATCTTTTTCCTATTTTACTGCTTTGGAAGGAATAGTTTTGTCTGACCGTGCTAATTAAAAATGAAGCATATTAACAAATAGCCTGAAAACTGAAGAGAGAAACGCTAACCCCAATATCATAATAAATTTAGGTCAAGGGAAAAATGAATTAATTTGAGTAATAAGATGACATATTTGTAAGAGCTTTCAGCAAAATAAGATTCTGGGTAAGCATAAGATCAATGTGTTTTCTGAGGTTTACAGTAGTATGAGAGGAATTGGCTCCACGTGTATACCGGGCATAACATTTATGGAAGGTGGAGGATGTTTGCCAAGGAGTTGAATCTGGTAAAATGTGTTTGATTTTGATTTACATGCATCTTGCTGTGTTGTTTTTGTCACAAAGTGTATTTATTTCAAGATTCATAATGTAAGGTTGGCTTGTATTGTCTTATCTAAGATTGCATGTATGTATTTAGAAATTTACAGTACATCATCTTGGTGAAATTTTCCTTCTGATTAATTTGCTGACACAGTATCCCATTTATTGCAGATGCAAGAAGCTTACTCATGCATGATGGCTGGTATGTCTATTAATATTTATTGATTGTTGGCTCTTAAGAGTATCATGTTTTGCAAACACCCAAGTAAATTAGTAAATTATCATACCTGTATAACTACATTTTATTTTTTTTCTTACGTTTGATTCATAAATTTCTACACTTCCTTGGTCTTCTAGTTCCTTAGTCGGACTAAACGTAGCATCAGATTCGCCTTCCCGAGGAAACCTATGTCTCTTTTGTTTTGCCAGTCCTGAATATGATATCCTATACCTAGCGGGAAATTAAATTCTGATAATCTTCTCTGCTGATCATGAAGCTCAAGTGTGTCTTACTTCCATCTTTTTCTGTTTCGTACACCAATGATCCAGAAGAAACCCACATATTATTCTAGATAGAGTTGATTAATAAATTCCCTAGATTTTTCTGCCTATTTTTCTGTTTCCTGCCTGTTAGATGTGTTCGTTTTTATTCTACAGAGAAATTTTCCCTTTTGTATCTCGTGTTGCCAATGTCATTCACTTTTTCTTATTGTAACCGCCTTGGCGAGCTTACTTGGATGTAATGTGGGCTAATGCCCATCAGAAATTTAATGGGCATATGAGCATTAGCTTAGACTAGTGGGCTCCATAACTTCTTAAGGTTTTATTTGATCTTGACCAATGGGCAGAAGACACCCATAGGATTTTATTAGGTATGTTTGTATTTGACTTGACCAGTGGACGCAAATTTGACATGATGATTTGACCAGTGGACGCAAATTTGACATGATGATTTGACCAGTGGACTTTGAGGCATTAAGGCTAGCACTATAACAGTCCTCTGAAAATATAGTGCTATAAGAAACGAAAGACCCACTTTAGTTCTATATCTATTTTTTTAGAGAAGTTAGTTCCTTTTTCATGACTGATCATTTAGAACCTACCAGCATGACCCATTATCTTCTTTCGATATATATGTTTGAACTTATTAAATTCTTCAAGACCATGCTAGTATTGTCTGCATTGAATGAGAGTGTACTGTTTTGCTCAAGGGTTTGTGGTATTTGCTGATTATTTTTTATTATTATTATTTATTATCATGGCCATCACAGGTGGGAGAGCTGACCAGTTTTCAGAAGGTAACTTCATGATCAGTGTCTCGGTCAACATTTTTAGTCTTTTTATAATTGACTGATTTCTATAAAATAACAGCCCACACTTATCAGTAAGATTTTTCGATAATAACAATCAATCTGATACTATTTTTACAAGTAAACACGCAAAAATTGCATCGTTCTATAATTGGTTGATTTCTGAAAATAACACCCCGCACAATTTTCAGTAATATATTTCCACAAAATCCTCCAATCTGCCGTTCTTTTGACAAGTCAAAGGTCAAAAGTACAGTAAGTTGACAATTATTTCTGGAAGGGCACTATTTCATCAAAGGAGATGTACCATTATTTTTCAAGAAATGGCTCTGCCATTCCTTCAATGAACCTGACGAATTTATTTTTTTCCAAGAAGAGCTGCTCATGTCTGCTATTACTTTTGAGAGATGTACTACTTAGCTAAAAGAGCTGCAACATTATTTTTTAAGAAAATTACCCCCTACCACTCTCCTCAACCCAGTGTTTCTTTTCTTTTCCCAAAAACTAGCTACTCATGTACGTGTTGTGAGGAAGGGTGTCTATGGAGCTCACAAGAGGGGGAGCAGCACCCTCATCAAGGCTCCATTCCTCCTCATCATCCTCGGAACCCTCTCCCTTGGGGGCTTCAATGCCCACCGGTATGCTTCCTCTTTCGGCAAAATCTTCCATACTTGTCCTTGGATCATCCTTCAGTTTCTCTTCTCTTCTCTCACACTCCTCCTTTCTGGGCTGTCCTTCTCCAGAGCATACCAGAAGCAGAAGGAGGATTTCCCTGTGAGTAACCCATTCCTTCCTTAGCTTGGAAAACCACCTATGCTGAGGAAGTATCACTTGATTCTTATCACTCCAGAAGGTGATGAATATAGTATACATGAGAGACTTTGTTTTACTATTTATGAAAAAAAAACATTAATTTATGAGAAAAAGTGGTCATACTATTTGAAGTAGCCTTGGCTCATCCTCAATTCTCTTCTCCCACACTCCTTTCTAGGTTCTTCTTCTTTAGAGCATGCTATAGGCAAAAGGAGGAGTTTTGATACAACCCCTCCTTCCATCGGCTTGGTGTGAGAGGGTAGATTATCGAAGAGAGAAATAGGATGGGGAAGGAGGTGCTGTGATACTCAAGTAGAGACAAAGCAGGTACATTGATAATCATTCAAAGACGACAGAGGGAGAGTAAGGAAACAAAGACAAAGACATAGAGATGGGGAAGAGGGAATGATGAGAAAGAGATGGGGATGGTCACTTATAGATGTCTGGTCTCCAGGACCCTCCTTTGAGGATGACTCCAAAGTTGCTCACTACATAGGTTTTTTGTAGCTTTATATGGAAGGCAGGTCTCCTCATGTCTTGTGCAGAGGTTGTCATGTCATAGATGTTGCCGACTTTGGCCCCTACTATCTCTACCATTGGTTGTCTTTATAATGGCCTTCGTTAATTCTTTCTTCATGTATTACTTCCTTGCCCTTGATTGTATGAGTCTTCTTTGGATGACTGGCAAATGTGAGGGTTGTATCAACACTCCCTCCCACAAGTCTCACTTGTTTTCAAGAGGAAAAATCTAAGAATTAGAGTTTGAACCTTCAAGCATCTTCTTATGAGGCTTCGGAGTCAAGGAGGTCAGCCCATTGGACTAGAATATTGAGCAAGTGTGATTTTTGCCAAGTTGTCTAAATTCTTTTAGGGTCACTTAACAATGGAACAAGTTTGATAGAATTTGACCCTTTGATGGCCTTATGCAATTATGAAATGTGGACAACAAGATCAATGTTAGAGGTGAGAGATAATTTCAACTTGTAGGTGACTAGGTTGACTTGTTCAATAACTTTGAAAGACTTAAAATATTGATGGACTAATTTTTCATTTAGATGTTTGGCGACATAGTTTATTTGTTGTATATTAAATAATGTAAATTTAAATTTTATAAAACTAAAATATTAATTTTTAGATTTTTATAGAAGTATTTCAGCACAAATTTATCAATTATAATTAAATAAAAAGTTTCAGAAATAGTGAAAAAATTCAAAGTCAATCATAAGCATGTAAGATAATATTAGGTAAAATTGTAGAAATTTTCTCAAAGAATATGATTTTTTATGCTTTTCAGACTAAATGATAAAAATATATATATTTAAAAAATATGAAAAAAATAAATTCAAGTGTATATGTCATCATGATATTAGTGATCTGATGATCACAATTATTTGATTATATTAAGATTTATATAAGTTATGTTTAGTTTATATAAACTTAATAAAAATAGAGTTATATTTAGTGATTATTGTGTAAATAATTGTATATTAATTATTTAATTGACTAAAGAAGATTTTTTAAATTTAAATCACATAAAATCTCACTAGTTTAAAGAATGATTAAATTTTAAATAAGAAAAATAGAATTATTGTGTTGTGGTAGTGATTATTAGAATTTTAAATATTTAGGAGGATTATTGTGTGATGTTCATAACCACAAAGTCTCTTTTTAGACATAGATGACATGAACAATCTCTAATTTTTTTTTATTAGTTTAGAAATTGATATTTAGGTCAATAAAATGTATTTGGCTATTGTCACTTAAAGTAAAATAGTAGTTCAATAGTATTTAGATCTTTGATGATTGTCACTTAGTAGGGATGAATTAAACAGTGGTGGGGCTCATCTCAAAGAATTTCATCCTTAGATTCACATAGCAAGAGAAGTCTCTTTATCACATTTGGTATGTTATGAGAAGATAGTGACTCATTTTTTGGTGGATCACCTTGTACTCGACAATAATATGTTCGTAAATTAAATAGAGATGATTTCATCAAAGAATTTTTGTATTCAAAATCTTTGGTCAATTACTAACAATGATCTTTGAATAGCATTCAAAAAATTTTAGTCAATGATTGAACGATTATGACAACTTGATCATTTATTGATATTTTAGAAAAAAAATCATGATTTAATTAGATATAATTGTGGTAGGATTCAAATATTTGCTTGCTCAGTATGTGAGATAAGGTTAACCATTAATCACATTACCCTTTAATAGTAACATCATAATTACATTTCTTTCTCCTAACTCAAGAATAATTTATGTAATAATTTTTATATTGTTCTAACTTGCATGCATCACTCTCTAGGTCAATTGTCAAGTCATGATTGATTAGTAAATCACTTCTTTTTTTCTATTTATCTATTTATTTCATTTCATTTCATTTTATCTAAAAAATATATAATTCACATAAAATCACATAATTAACTAAAAATTAACATTAGTTAATTAAATTTCTAATTTATTAATTGTACATAAATATAAGTCTATTTATCTTAATTTAAGATAAAAATATATATTATTAACTAATTATTAACTCATGATAGTGAAGACATTATTAGGTTAGAAATTATTGTTGACAAGGATGTAGGCCCATAAACATGAATTCCTCCACTATGATTTGCACATCTTGACATTTTTGATACACTTATATTTTTATGTGACAAGAGGACTAATGTCAGCACTCCTTCAATAGGTTGCACACCTCATTCTTATTCTTACTAAGGGTTTCAATGAAATTATTATTGATTCTTCCAGTCTCATAATGGACTAGTGTTGAATATTTTTTATTGTAGATAATCTTAAATAGAGGTGTGATGAACATTTGCAAATCACCAAAAATAAGTTTTGATGCCCCTATTCACTACCTCTATAGATGCTAGGGCACTATTATGGATAAGGAACATTCCTTACATCCCAAAAAGTTATTTTCAAAAAGAGCTCATAAAGATTCTATCATGGTTAATGAGAATAAAGGTAAGAAATCAGTGCAAATAAACTATGTTTGGAATGATTTTTTTTGTGTTTTCAATTATAGTAATTGGGTGTTCAAGTGGAGAGAAGTAGACATACTTATTTAGGTAATCCACAAGTACTAATAGGGCATTGAATCATTCAAAGCATAATAATCCTTGAACAAAATCTATAGATATATACTCCTAGATTCTTTTTAGAATTGTGAGAGGTTGAAGTAGTTTGGTAGGTGACATTTTTTTTTCATTTAGTAATCTTGACAAGCTTGTATATGAATTAAATCTCTAGAAATAACTAGTCATCCTCAATGGAGTATAAGGCCAGTGAATATTTAGATAATTTTTCCAGATTCTCATACAATTTATTTACAATATGTAAAACTATTTGGTCAACATAATTTTCTCTTATAATTTGACACATTAGGTCTCTCAGATAAGATGTCAATTACTTTATTTTTGGAACCTACCTTATAACAAATCTCAAATCAAAACTTATTATCTTGTACAACTATTGTTGAAACTTGAGAATCACTTGATGTTGTTTTAATAAAAACTTTTAACTATGTTGATCAAATGTAAATAACGAATCTTCTATCCAAAAATTAGTATTTTCACTTCAAAACAATCATAACAATTGCCATCATCTCTTGTTCGTAGACTACTTTAAACTTTTTAATAGTGGAAAATCATTAATTGAAGGATACAATCAAGTAGTAGTGTTGCATGAGGATTGTTCTTATCTCAATGTCGAAGGTGTTGATCTCTAACTTAAGTTTTTCAAAGAAGTTTAGTAATACTAAAAATGAGATAATTTTAATCGTATGTTTAAGACATTAAAATATTGTCTTAGGTTCAAGACTCTACTAGAAAGTATCCTTTTTCAGCTATTGAGTTAATACATGGGTGATCGTTACATAACCATTAATAAACTAATAATTGTAGTCAATAAGGCCTAAAAAACCACACAATTCATTTAGATTGATTGGTGAGGAAGATGACCAAATAAAAATAATCCTAATGTTATCTTAACCTATCTCTAAATAACACTCTCTCAATAGAAATTCAATGCCCTAAGTATTCAATTCAAGGCTAGCCAGAAAGTAAGTTTTTAACATTAACATCAACTAATTTTTTTGGAACGATTGGAAAACCTGATGAAGATGCTGGTCTTGGAGCTTCTTAATCTCATTGAAAATTAAAATGTTGTTAAAGAAGACTAATATAATTTTTTATAAGAACTTCTTTAAAATTATGTTCATCAGGGCTTAAAATATTATTAAAGTATTGGAGAGTTTGAAGGCATCACTAAGAATTGATATAGTCCTTCATGAGTTCAAAATACTATCTTCAATACATCCTCTTTCTTGTTTCGTATTAGTGACATCTAGACCTAAGGTCAACTTTGGAGAAGATGGTTGTCTCATATAGCTGTCTAAGAGTTTCTTAATGGTAGGGATAGAAAATATGTTTGAAGTTATAGCTCGATTTAGTATGTAGTAGTCTACATAAAACTATTAAAAACCTCTCCTCTTCTTAATCAGTATTGATGGGGATCTGGAATCAATCATGTGAACCATATTTGGTAGGTAAGTTTTTCAATCTCTTCCTTATGGGCATGGGATACCTAACATAGCGTAAGTTGATTGATTGGACATTTTTATTTAAAGGTAACTTTATACAATTCTGCTCATGTCTTGTGTGGAAGTTGACATGTTCTATTATCCTTGTCATTTAAAATATAATTACCTTCATTAATGCTCATTTCTCTTGTTACTTCCTAGCCTTTGATTGTATGAGTCTTCTTAAGGCATCTAGTAGATGCAAAGGTTGCATCAAGTTTTTTGTGAGTAATTCATTCATTTTGCTTGAAAACAATCCATGTTGGGGAAGTATCTCTTTATTTTTACAATATAAATAAGTGATGAATATTATTTATATGAGAGATTGTTATACTAATTAAGAAAAAAAATATATTTTGTAGAGAAAATTGACAACTTAATCTAAATAGTAGATCCACTCGGAGAATTATTTTAGAGATTTGAGTGATCAATGAAGCATGATCCTTAGCAAGCATGTTCATACAAGATTAAATATGAGCCCAACTAGCAAGATAATTTATTAATAGGATTGATTTATGTTTTTTTCATCTAGACTTCTAAAAAAATCATGAATTAATCAAAACCTTATAATTTATATATTTTAAAATAATTCCTCACATATTTGAGACTATTAGATAATATTCTTTTGATAACTAAGATTGTTATAATGTAATGGCCTTTGGACAAAATGGTGAATAATACTCATTGTGGATACATGTGCATCATGCATAGATGAACACACTCTTACCCTCTCTCTCTCTCTCTCTCTCTCCCTCTACACAAAATAGTGAATAATACACCATTGTGGGTACATCATGTGCATCCTCTATAGATGAACACACTCTAGCTGAGGAAGTGGCAACCTCCTCTCTCTCTCTCTCTAAGTCCCCCCACCTCCCATCCTTTCCCTTGCTCAAATTTCCTAGTGCTAGAATTCACACAAAGTTGTGAAGGGTGCAGGCTAATTTCTTTGTTGATAAGGGGCATTATTGTCATTTTCTGTATATATTAAAGGGATGATATTACGATATTGCTTTATAGGTATTTTTTTGTATAAGTAACTAATCCAGAGATGGTTTTAAATTAAAACCGGTCTCCAGGGTGTCTTTCTAAATCCTGCCGATGAAGGAGTGTTTTTTAGTTCTACACAATTTTAGGGGGGTACTCGCAATTTTACAATGTTCTAATAGAAAACCGTCCTCTGAGCTGGAAATGGCGTTCCGGTTCGCGGGGTCTCTTTCAAAAGTGATGAGCCCATTTTTGTGGGCCCCAAAAATGCCACGTAGACCCGTCGCTACCCCCGACAGCGCATGCTCGGCAGTCAGCGGACCCCACGCTCTTGGGGCGGGAGGGCAAAGTCTCTAACGTGCGCCGTCGCTGTATCTCCCTCCACGAGTCAACTCGGTATCGCTTCCCAGGACCTCCGAAGGCATGATCTCCCGTCCATAATCAAGCCAACGGTTTTGATATCACCACGACGCTCGTCGACAAGTTCTCCCGGGATCATCTCGTGAGAGAGTACGATAAATTCGGGGGGCTGGGACGGCGCACGTTAGACAGAGGTGAGGTGGATATTGTTTGTTTATTTAATATATAATTAGAGGGAAATAAATATTTGTTTGTTTTTTGCTGCTGGGAGGGCGAATCTCTGGCGATCTGCGATTTTGCTTGAGAGCGGAGGCAGCGGGGGGGGAGGGAGGATCTCATCTTCTTCCTCTTCCTTCCAGGTTTCCTATTGGCGTTAGGTCTTTCTGGTTTGCTTTCTTGGATCTGTGCGTGAGTTTCTTCTGAGATTGGTCTCGGTGCTTTTGGGTTGTTGTTGCTGGTAGGGCGAAGTCTGGTTCCCGTGGGTGGGGGCATGGTTTAGCGATCGGAGATCACTCTTTAGGTGTGTTGTGGTGGTACTAGAGTCGAGGAGTTGGAGACAATGGCGGACGACGTTCCGATGAGCCCCGAGCTGGAGCAGATCAATGGCGAGATCCAGGACATTTTCCGAGCTCTCGCGTGAGTTTTTTTATGCTTTTGTTTTCTTATTCGTTTCCCCTTCCTCAGCTCATGCTTTGTTCTTCTCGTTGGGTGTTGTTGGGCTGTTTACTGTGCCGCCTGTCTCCATTGATTTAACTAATGCAATATTTGTGTGCAATTCCCACCTTGTTTTCCTTGACGTTCGGCGGAGGGAGGGTTGGAGGAAAGTTGCTGATTCGGGTTCTTGTCGGAACAACGGCGGAGTTCTGGAGACGTGTTTTTAGGATAGACGTTTGAAGATTTGGAATCTAGGTGTAATTGTGACCTGTTCAGATTAGGTTGCAGTACAAAGTTGAAGCATCCAATAAAAGACATTATTTACTCAGAACACATGCTATTCCGTTAATTTGTCGACTTCATAGTGAGTTGGCATGATTTAGTAATTGGCTCTGATTTGTATTATAGAACAAGAGGACTGTGACAGCAGAAAGTAAGCTCTCCAAGTTCAATTTATCTTTTGGACGGTATCGTTAGCAATACTCAGATCATTCCTATCTGAACTATCAGATATTTGGGAACCACGCTCTTGGCAGTGAGCGAAGCATACATTGCAGTAATTATCTGTTCTTCATTTAGCAAGTTTTGGAATAATACCACAATCAGTGGATGACTGTTGCATGTATGAGAAGCCTCAGTTTGACTTCCCACGTTCCATTGTTCATTGATGGGCTTTATGGGGTTTTGTGCTAGTATCCCATATACATATATCTTCATTTTTCTCGTCAATGTGTCTATTATTGCTTTCAGTAACTCATCACCAAACATGAATACTGATAACCTGTCATGGGTAAGGGCGAACTATAGGCTAGTTTTCCTATCTACAGAGAGAGATGTCTCTCATATATTTTTCATGGTTGACGAAAATTTATCCTCGGAATACTATTTCTTCAGAATAATTAATTAGCATTTACTCTTGTCATGCTATCATATCAGGGGCCACTTGGTCAACAGGTTAAAATCTTCTGACACGATTTCCCACCTTCTGAGGGAAATCGTATTTTGACCCGGAAGCCTAGATAGGGACTTCATAATGTCATTTTTTTATTCCACTCTGCACTCTGGAAGCCTCACATTGACCACCTGAAATGTCGGAAAATTGTTATTTTGATCAACCACGTCGCATATTTTATTAACTGAACATCAGGCTTATTTGAATTCCGCGTTCCTCTTCTGATGCAGCAGAAATTGCGGAAGAATAAAAAAAACCCGGCCTTGAATCCACAAGGCTCGAAATTCCTGAATCCTTAGTCCCCAAGGATCAGAATAATGCCCTTGAATCCACAGGGGTTGCTCTGATACCACTTGACCCAGTGGATGTTACGTGGGATAAAAGATTTGAGCCTTGAATCCCTAAGTCATGGATCTTGAACAACGAGGTCCTGAACCAGATTCCTTTTTTTGGACTCATAACTTTCGCCCTACATTATCTTCTGCAGGGACTGTGTTTGGTCTTATACTTTGATGTGCATTTTTATCTCAAAAAGAAGAAAATTATTGATTTGATTCCAGCTCAGATTAGTTATCTTATGTTTGATCTAAATATTCAAATGTTTTAGTAGTCATTCATTATCTCGGTCAGCTTGGAGATTGCATGTTCTTATTTGACGAGACAGTGTTGTGCCTTTTGTTTTTAATATCCGCTGTGTTGTAGTTGACAAAGTAGATTCATCGCATTTTAATACTCACCCTTTGATCTTTAATGTGCTTTGATATTTTCTTCTGCAGAAATGGTTTTCAGAAATTGGACAAGATTAAAGATCCTAACAGGCAAACAAAGCAGTTGGAAGAACTCACTGGAAAGATGAGAGAATGCAAGAGGTTTGCCAGATGATTGCCTTTTATTATTCATTTATTTTCCTTTGTTCTTACATTAATGCGTTTTTTCTTCCTGGGTAGCCGGAAGGAATATACGTCGTGGAAGTTGTTTTATATTTCATTTCGTGCTTTGGGTATGTCAGAGTATGCTTTTACGAGCTCAAGTATGAGAAGTTATTCTATTCATTCTATGTTCGTAGGCTTTTTTCCATTTAATAAAATATATTTTATGCACAATGAATTGCCAGATCGGTGTATTCATTTAGGATGAATCAATGACTTAAGTGTTATGCAATGACATAGTCATCTTTTTGTTTCAGATTAATTAAAGAGTTTGATCGCGAACTAAAGGATGAAGAGAGTAAAAATCCTCCTGAGATTAATAGGCAACTCAATGACAAGAAACAATCCATGGTTGGTCAATTTTACCTGCTCCTTTTGTGGTTTTGTTGTCAAAATTTCAGTTAACTATATCATTTGTTGATGCAGATCAAAGAGCTGAATTCGTATGTGGCTCTCAGAAAAACGTAAGTCTCTCTCATTCACTGGGCAATCACTCTTGCATTTAACCCATCTTGGGAATCGACGTCTCATAACATGGGGCTATTACCTTTCTCACACTGTCATTACTGAAACATCGTTGCATCAATGGGTGGAAGACTCCATATTAGTTTCATAATTCGCAATTAATTGAATCAATTATTTGTAGATTCGATGTTTTTGCTTAACTGCCATCTATTTCACGAGGTAGACTCTCTTTGTGGAACAAATTTCAGATTGGATTCAAGCAATCATCAGCAGTTGGTAAATAGCGTTGGAGTTCAAGCAGTTGTAAATCTTATAACCTGATAATGCGGATATGGAAAAGTTTGTTGGTTAAAAATATCATTACGATCTTTTGTGATGAAGACATTTTCTTTCATCCTTCTAAAACGGTGGGGCGGAGAGTGGTCGTCATACTGAGTTGAGAAGAACTTTCAAGGTTTGCCATTCATTCTTTTATTGGCGTGATTGCATGCTCATCTGAAGGCAAGCAAATTTGAACATAAATAAAAGCGCATTTTTGTGCCAGAATGGGAAGAATTTCTTTACAGAACTACGCTGGCCAAATATATTCTCACATACATGATGTCGGCTGGGTTCTAATGTGTAGTAAAAGGGGGGCGCAGTGTATTTTGTTTACTTATGGAACTTTAATCCTATCCAATCCTCTGCTTGAAGTCTGTATTAGTTTCTTGATGATTAATATGAAACCAAAGGTGCATTTTCTTGAGGATTGCCGCCATGAAATTTCATTATTTTACTTAGAAGATCACTCAACAGTCTTTCTCCCATTTTTATCATCGTAATCTCAGAGATGGTAGGCTCTGGGAACTGTTTTCTCTTCTCTAGGATGTGAGAGAAGACACCCAACATAGGAATGGAAACTCAGGCATGAAGCCAGCAGAGTATGATAGGATCTCTCATGATATGAGAATACTTCCACTTTTCTACAGATGATTTTGACTTGAAACGCTGAAATTCTTTTCAAAACCTTGCTGGTTTCTGGTCGGATACTGAAAACCAATCTCTTTCTATACGATTCTACCCTTTTCATTGCTGACATGGATGTGAGTAGCCCCAGTGCTCATGCTTCTCCACTCCAGAGATCTATGAAGCTTCTGATAGTGATGTTCTGATAAGCATGGCCATCTGGACATGATATCATCTACGAATCAGAAGGCTCATTTCAGCCGGAGAAATCGTCTCAGATTTCCATCACCTGGTGATTCTTCTTTGGGATATGCTGGTATGCAGGTACACAAGCAGCCTGGGCAACAAGAGAGTCGAGCTCTTTGACATGGGCGCTGGCGGCAGCGAGGCCACAGCTGATGAGAATGTTCAGATGGCATCAAGTATGTTTTTATCTCTCTTCCTTCATATAACCATCATCATCATCATAATCTTATGAGAAATGCTTCCACAACTAATCATTTACTATAAGAACCTGATGATGGGGACAGTAGACGACGGTATTGTGGTGTGGGATCCAGAATATGGTGTGAGAAACCCCCATTGACTTGAGAAATCAGAAAATGGTGTTCTTGATCTGTAGTTTGGTTGACTTTCAACTTCTAGAAACTGCTTATATAAGAATTAATATTTGGATGTTCATTCAGAGTGTAGTGTGAGGAACCCCATTGAATTGAGAAATCAGAAAGCCAAGTCTTCCATTTTTAGGATCTGCTCATGCAGTAATTATAATTCCATGCCTTTTTTTCATCCGAAAATGTTTAATTTCAGAAGTGCTGATGGCACCATTTAATCAGCTGCCATCAAATGCTGATTTTGTGATGAAATTAGCTCTGGATCTGAGTTAAAGCTATTTATTTTGATCAGCTTTTCGGTTTTCTCTCCAACACAGAGTACACCTGATTGCAACGGGATAATCTGCTAGAACTGTACAATTAATTCATCATTCCACTGTTCATGGCTTGCCTCAGTTGACCTTGTACTAACTCACACAAGTCAACTCGGTTTCCCAGACCTACAGTTCAGATCTTTGCCACAGCAGGAATAATTCTTGCAATCTTCTCTGTACTTCAGAGTATCTTGGTCTTTAATTCCATTTTTCCTCGGCCCGTTATAATTTTTTTTTACTAAAAATGGTAAAAAACCCCTTGGGTCTGGCATCAAACAAGCTTAGAAATTGTTGATGATGTTTTCTTGCCAAAGATAGGAAAAAAAAAAGAAAAATAAGTAGCACTCTAGGGTTTGGGTAGCTGATCACCTTCTTCACACTAGCCGATGTCTATCTCTGCAGCAATGTCGAATCAGGAGCTTGTTGATGCGGGAAGGAAGACGATGGACGAGACCGATCAGGCCATCCAACGGTCGAAAATGGTCTGGAGACGCTCCATCAATCTAGATATCCCTTCTCTTTCTTTTCCACTTATGGCTCATCTTGAAGTGTCTGGATTCACCAGGTGGTCGAGCAAACCGTCGAAGTGGGTGCCCAGACCGCCACCACCCTGAAGGGCCAAGTGAGTTGACCCAACACTGGATTCCACCATCGTTGACTTTCCTCTTCCATGGCTGAGTCAGCGTCCATCCACTCTTGCTCCCGGTGAATTCCACAGACACAGCAAATGGGCCGGATTGTCAACGAGCTGGACACCATCCAGTTCTCCATCAAGAAGGCATCTCAGCTCGTGAAGGAGATCGGCCGACAGGTCAACCTTTGGCGGGCCCCGCACATATTCACCAGTATTTGCTCATAATTTCATTAATTTAAATGCTTTTCTCCAATTCAGGTAGCCACCGACAAGTGCATCATGCTGTTCCTATTTCTGATCGTGTGCGGCGTGATCGCCATCATCATCGTTAAGGTACTCCATAATCTACATTTTCTCAAAATGGCATTTTTATGGGCGTTGACTTTGGATCCATCGCCGTCAAACTGCCTGCAGATTGTCAACCCAAGCAACAAGAACATACCAGACATTCCGGGCCTGGCACCGCCGGTTCCGGCAGCTGCAAGGCGGCTCCTGGCGGCGGGGCCACTACTCCGCTAGTGTCTGTTGGTGAATTCAAGAGGTAGCCTCCTGTGTTTTGACTGCCTATTTAAGTCTCCCCTTGTTCGACTTGTGCATACACATTCTTTCCCCCCCTCTGTATATCATCATGCTCTTGCTCTGCTGCTGCCCGCCTCCCCCTACCACCCCCTGAAGGAATCTAGAGAGAGAATGTATGACAGAGAGACAGAGAGAGAGAAGGGGGTGGAGATCTTGATCTGGATGGACGGTGCGATTTGATTTCTGTGATGATCCTGTGCTTGATTGTCTTGAATGAATTTCTCTGTAGTTTGTTGTCCGATTGTCGTCTGTATTATGTTTAAATTGATATTAATAAATAATGTAAATATCGGGCCTCTCTATCTTGAATGGGCTGGGTTTTTAAGTTCCGGCCCGAAGAAGCCGCCAATTTCATAGGGGGGGGGTTTACGTAATTTGTTCATATCATGCTTTTGACCCATTTAAAGCTCTTGCCGACAAGTGGTGGACGAGTTTTTCTTTTGTATATGTCAAAAATAAAAAATGTAAGGGTTTATTTTATAAATTATACTTGGACGAGGGGATTGTGTGTAATAGATAATGTGAAGACATTGGCCTGTCGTCCGTAATCCGCTGTACATCTGTTGGCTTCCAGCAGTCGTGTTGCACGTTCTGAACGATTATTGGTCCACGTAGCAGTGTCCTTCCTCTCCCCTTCCCTATTCGGCCACCCTAGAAGAGAGAGAGAGGGGAGAAACAGAGGAGAGGAGAGGAGAGAGGTTAGAGATGGAGAGAGAGAGGAGAGAGGTTAGAGATGGAGAGAGAGAGGGAGTGAAGAGAGAGACAGAGGGGGTATTCGGCCGCCCGCCAAAAACCCTCAAATTTTGGACAGTCCCGCGCAGAGAGGCTCTGGTGGGCCCCAGCGATAGTGGGACCCACAGACACAAGAAATAAGACAAAAGGAAGAAACCCATTCTACACTTCCTCTCTCCCCCCACCCCCCATTCTCTCTCTCTCTCTCTCTCTTTCGCTCTTCGACTGCTTCCCCTTCTCTGCTCTCCTCTCACCTCCCTCCAGCATCCCCCTCCCCCTTCAATACCCAGAGGATCATCGTCTCGGATCTCCTTCGGCGAGCAACATCTTCCTCCGAAGGTGGCGCCGCCGCCGCCGCAGTGACATCTACAAAGGTGAAGCAGAGCCGGTCTCCGGTGGAGCTCGGCTCCCACCGCAACTTGCAGGCCTTCAGGTTCTTCTCTTGTTCCTTTCTAGTTCATCGTGTTCCGTGGGGCGATTCTCCCTGGGGCGGGGTTGAAGAGTCGCCGAGGCGGCGGTGGGGGCGGAGAGGGACGTCTCGGCGCTCGCGGCGAGGGTATGCGGCGGCGGTGGGGATCTCCGGCCCGCCGACGGGCGCTTCGTGCCGCTCGTGTTAGCTTGCGCCGGCTGGATACGTCGCCATCGCCTTTTGGTGTCTCGTCTCTGTTCCATGCTGGAGGTGGAGAGAGATGAGAGCGATGTAGAGAGCAGATCAGAGCGAGGTCAGAGGAGGGCGCCCGGTTAACCGCGGCAATTTTAGTTCCATCTCGTCTCGTATGCTCTCCTGCTGTTTCCGCGTTGTTGTCGCCGGCAGCCGCGTGTGGCCGCAGTCTGATTCCGTCCGAGTAGTTGACCAGCGGCGAGAAAACGCCGATTTCTCTCCCATCGCTGACCCATGAACATGCCATCATGATTCCTATTGGCTCACGACGAGTGATCGTCACTTGACGGTAGGAACTGGTAAATTATTTGTTTTTTCAATTTTTTTAGGGTTTGGAGGGTATTTCTGGGACTATCTAGAGAGAGGTTATATTTATGTTGAACGCTGGCGTTGGATGTTCGTCATGTGACAACCATAAATGTCGACTATAAACACCTCCTCGTGGGAACGCGCGGGCTCTTCCGCTTCCTCTTCGTCTGTTTTTACTTTCTCTATGTCACGTTTTTCCAAGAATAAGTAATTCCGTGGCGGGTTCTCATCCCCTCGTTCTCTCTCTCTCTCTACAGGACCACCTGGAGACCGTTTGTTGGCTGCTTGAAGAGGAAGAAGAGAAGGTTTTTGACTCGTGCGAGGCAGGAAAGTGGGTTGGATTGGAAACATCTACTCAGTGGACAGACATTGGAAGTTCATACAGATCACAGACAGAGAAGACAGGAATCTGCCCTAGTGAAGTGGGTTAGCGCAAAATTTTCTACACGCTCATGCCAGTCTCCTGAAGCTGTCCGCGGTGGGTCTGCCTAGGGCTTCCTCAGGGAAAAGGAACAGCTTGGCATCTTGCTTGTTATCCTTAATGTCTATGGTGGGTGCGGAGAAGGGGAGGCCATCCTCCTCGTCATCGGTGGCTGTAGCATCCTCCTCGTCGCCGCAGTTGGATCCTCTGCTGAAGGATCTATCAGAGAAAAAACAGAGCTTCCGGCGGAGCGTCGTGTCGCTGGCGGCGGAGCTCAAGGATGTTCGCAACCGCCTTGCAACCCAGGAGGAGTCTGTTGCCCGGGAGACCCTAAACAGACAGGTCTGGATATTTCACTTTTTTTTTTTGGCTTCCCATGATTTCCTTCAGAAAAAGTTGTTTTCTCCTCCTGCTAGGTGGATTGCTTGTCTGCCTTTTTCTTTCTTTTTTCTGAGTTGGAAAACCGCGCGTGGTGGCTTTTGTGCGACAGCTTGCAGAAAGAAAGGCGAAGAATATGGAAGAGGAGATCAGCCTGCTGCAGAGGAGTCTACAGGAGAAAGACGGGGAACTTCAAGCGTCTGCTTCTTCTGCTGAACTGGTAGGGCAGTTTTGTTTCCTCTATTTGTAATGCCTTTTTTAGAGATTTGTTGCCGCGATTTGTAAATCTGATTGTCCTGGAATTGGCCTACCTTTCTATTTACTGTTGGTGGGTTCTTGTGTGTTGTCTGTTAGGTTTTTCTTGTCAGTTCCTCCGTCTTGCACCTGTTTTACCCTGATTTCTTTCACTTTCTTGTTGGAAAAAGAATTCTTTCTCAAACGGTGGCACTGTCTACTTCCTCAATCCAAGAGAATCCTAACAGATATTTAATACGCCACGCCAACTATGCATATTTTTTTATGCGTTTAATTGTTTGCTGCTATTTTGTCATAACTACTTTTTTCACTCTGCAAAAGTAAACATTTGTCTATATTTTAAAAAAAATTGATAGCTGTATGTCCCTTCGAATCTGATGACAATAAGGGTCGAAGTATTATCGTCTTTAGTTTTAGCTGTTTTTTAAGCACTGAAATATCTAATTTCAATTTTGATGTACGAATATCAAGCCATTGACGGGTTATTTTTATTTTCTGTCTAACGTTTTTTGTTCCTTTGACCACAATTAATGTTGCATTTTTCTAGAAAGTTACAAAAGGCTTTTATGACTTTACCATTTGTATCGGAAATTAAGATATAGTAACTCTTTTATATTCAATAGCAGAAATGAAGACTTCGCTTCATTTAGGCATCCATCATGTTCCTTGTGATTAGTCTTGATTCTTGAGGCGCATGTCAATTTGACTTCAAGAATTTCTTTTGTGAAATTATTTATATCCACGTCAATGTTTTGAAAGGTCGATTCCGGTTAGCAATCAATTTTTGTCTTGCCGTGTGTTCAGAATCTCGGGTTTGTCTCTATCTCTTTACTAAGTGATTTCAACTAACCTCTTTCCTTTTCTGGGACTGTTACAGCATCAGAAGGAGTTAGAGAAGTTAAGAAATGAGCTCTCGCTTACCCAAGCTGCCGCTGAAGCTAGTGCCGTCTCTTCTGAATCAGCAGAGATTCAGTGCTTGGTTTTGTTGAGGGAGTTAGATGAGAAGAATCTCTCTCTAAAAGAACACGAGGACCGAGTGAATAGATTGGGTGAGCAGTTGGCTCTGTTGCAGAAGGACCTCCAGGCGAGAGAGATTTCTCAAAACGAGCTGAAAGGCGAAGTAAAGAGAATCGAGAAAGAGATGATGCAAGCTGTTGCTGACGCTGGAGCCAACAAAGAGTTTGAGCTGCAGAGGTTCCTGGAGGGGGTTTCACCCAAAAATTTTGAGAATCTTAACAAGCATATGTCCGAAAAGGATGAAGAGATTTGTAGACTGAGGGATGAGATCAGATTCATATCTGCTCACTGGAAACATAAAACAAAGGAACTGGAGAATCAGGTGTGCGCTTCTTTACGTTTTTTCTAATTTTCCTCAGGTTGTGAGTAGTTATATCACCATTGTTTTCAAAAAACAGAAATAGACTCATCTTTGTGACTCTTTCTGTCGAGATCAGTTGGAGAAGCATCGCCGTGCTGACCAAGAACTGAAGAAGAGAGTTGTAAAGTTGGAATTCTGTCTTCAGGAGACCAGGTCTCAAACCAGAAAGCTTCAAAGGGTATGTCAAATTTCACCAATCCAACCCTCCAACCCGAATAATCCATTGCCTCTTCTAAAATTGTAATCAATAAATGATCACCCTTTCGCAATGTCTTCGCCTTCAGTGCAGTACCTGATCACTCTTTTGGACTAACTTTTCCATTTTCCTTTATACTTTCCTGTTCAACGTATAAATCACGTCCACAAAACCCTTCATTTGACATCACATCCTCCTTTGGCAGATGGGTGAGAAGAGGGAAAAAGATCTGAAAGACCTCAGGGATCAGCTGGCACTGAAGGAGAGGAATGAGGGCGGTCATGAGAAGCCAAACTTTTGGGAGAGCTCTGGGTTCAAGATGGTCGTCTCCATGTCCATGCTGGTGCTGGTAGTATTCGCAAAGAGGTAGATGTTAATAAATCTCTCTTTTTTCTCCCTCTCTCTCTCTCTCTAGCCCCCTTGTATTAAAAGTAGAAGCAGCGGCACCCGTTTTCTCCAGATGTTTAGAGAAATGAATTATTTAGTTCAAATCAACTCGTAGGCTTCAAGATGATCTTCTGCAGGATGAACTGTTATTCAATCTGCGCTATACTCTCATGGGGATACTTCACACTGTAAACTACCTTATCTCCACTGTTCAAAGAGGAAGTTCTTTGTTGCAAATCCAGCCTTAGCATTATGGATTATGTAAAACCAATGTACCACACTCTTTGCACAAGAAATGGGAGTTGCCTGTTCTGTTCAGTTCTTTCTACATATCACTCTGTTGGGTACATCTCTACTGAGTTGTTTAGAACAAATCTAGCCATATAAGGATAGTTAGCATTCACTGGATCAAGTCAGTCATCTGCAGGGCAAACTGTTCTTTAATTCACACTTCACATGCAACAAAAGGATGGAGGGAATCTACTGTCTGACATTACTTAATTTACATAAATAGCAGAGAAAGCTACGGCTCTATTTAGTTCTTCCCACATAACCAAGATATTAGGATCAAATCAGCATATAGAAAGAGAATCAGCGCGCACTATACCATATTAATCCTCTCCAGGATGAACTGTTATTCAACCTGCACTCTCCATCCACACAGCAAAAGGGAACAAAATCTATCTTCTGACCAGCTACTTCGCGTAATTACATCAAGTCGCCAGCTCTTTTAGAAATTTTCCTTTTTTGTACTTACCCACCACTGGACAGCCCTCTACAATGGCCATCTGGAGATGAACAGTGATCCAATCAACAGAGTGAGTTGTGACAGGGGTAGGGCAGCTGAAAGTGAGGATGTCCCGCCTGCTGGAGCTGTGGAGGACGAGGTGGTGGTGACCCCCGTCGGGTTGGCGGACCCCAATGGGTTGTTGGGCCCAAAGACGGTACCAGTGCCTGTGGGATTGGAGATGGTGGGTGTGGGGAGGAACGCACTGGGTGGGCTGGGGATGGAGATGGTGGGGGTGGGGGTGTAGGTATTGATCGGAGCGGGTTGAGTGCTGCAAGAACATTGACAGATCTGTTAGTATTTTATCTACAGATGCTAAGGAAGTTTAAGGCAAGGGATTTGTTCTTGATTTCTCACCTGGTGGCTGGGTATATGCAAGTAGCCGTACCTGCAAGTAACAAACAACGAGAATGATAAAAGATGGCGATTGTACTGAGTAACAGAGAAATGGGTCTCCTTTGTGTTTTGATTGTGGGCGAGATGCAGTATAAATTGATGAATTTTGTCTGATTTCTTCCACATTGTGATGGATGTGACTGGATAAACATAGTTGAAGTGTTTTTTATTTAATTTTCCCCTTGAAATGGATTATTCTAGCCAATTTATATGATCCCCGGAATGGAAAGTAGTTGAAAAAAAACTGCGTCAGATGGATTATTTTGATGGTTCCCAAAATGAAAAACTAGCTGCAACATCACATCATCCATGTCGCATGATTTGTGTTGAAAAAAATGATTAATGAATGAATGCCAGATGGAATATGCAGATCTTCTGATGATTGCAGGAGCAACATCAACCCGTTTGACCCGTTTGATATGTATTTATTTCTACCTGAAAGCATATAGTAAGATGATGGTTTGACAGCCAACTAGCTTTTTATTTCCGAGATATGTTGCATGGAGATAATATTGAAAGAGTCTGGTTCTTAATGGTTTTTCGAGAAGTCAACTCATCATTGTCAGTTGTGTGGAAAAATATATGGATGAATCATATAATTGGGATGGTTTGATGGATAACTAGTTCTTTATTTCCAAAAATATGTTGCATGGGGATATGAAAGAGCCGTCTTGCATGGTGGGGGGTAGATTAGCTTATCATGGTCAGTTTATTATGCATTATCAGACGTTGACTTACTTGGGTTGACGTAGACGATGGCGGCGGTGCCGCCAAAGTCGCAGCTGATCGGTGAAGGGTTCCTCTGGTAGTAGCTGCTGAAGGCGTAGGAGGCGTGGTCCCGTAGGGTGTTCGGGTTGAAGCAACTCCCCGCCGGCTGGATCGGTGTGCAGTCGGCGCCGCCGCCGCATGCGTAGTCCAGCCCCGCCTGCACCGCCGCCTCCATCGCCCCCGCCCGCGCCACGCACCAGCTCTGCCCACCTGCCGCCACCGGCGGTGGAAAAGGATACGGCGTCGTCACCGGGTTGGTTGTGGGGGGAAACCCAGTCGCCGGCGGCTGCGGTGGCGGTGGCGAAGGGAAGACGGTGGCGGGGACGGTGATGGCCGGCGGGTAGACAATGATGGGGTTGGTCGAGGGGACGGTGATGATGCCCGGAATTGGCGCCGTGAAAGGGACCGTTACGGCGGGGTTGGTGACGGCGTCTCGCCGGTGGCCGGCGGCGAGCTCCGCGGCGGCGATTCCTGCACAAGCAAAGAGAGATAGAGAGAGAGCGGTCAGAGGAGGAAGAAGAAGAGACCAACCCGCTTTTAGGGAGCTCTAGGGAGGGGAGGAAGAGAGTCACAAGTGGAAGAAATGGCGATCTGGGTCTGGTAACCCACCTGCTAAAACCCTAACTTGGTTAGAGAGAGAGAGGACTTACTGACCTGATGAGGAGGAGAGAGCACAGAGGAGGGAGGAGAGGAGTAGGAGGGCGGCGCTGGGTGAGGCGTCCCCGGCCATTGGAGGCGGTACAGGAAGGACGAAGAGGAGGGAGGAAGGAGGAGGGAGATCTTCTATGGGACTCCGGCGACCTCCTTTAAGGTCGCCATTGTAGAGAGAGAGAAAGAGAGAGATGGGCGTGGGGAGAGAAAGCTGCCGAGTTGAGCGAGGGAAAAGAAGTCCTGGTGACGGAGGAGGACAGGGAGAAAGAAGGAAAAGGTTAGAGACCAAAAATAATTGAATGACGCAGCAGAACCGTCCAAAAGAACGCAGAATGACCGCCAACTTTCCCGAACACCTCCCCACCTCTCTCTCTCTCTCTCTCTCTCTCTCTCTTCTTCTTCTTCTTTCCAAATCTGCGCGGCGTCATCAGCCACCATATTCAAAGGGATCCCCAATACTCTCACTACGTCTCTCTCTCTCTCTCTCTGTGCATGCACACTCTACCCCACTCGTGGGTTCGATGCTCGTCTCCGATTCCCATAATTCATTCCGAATAAAAAATGAGCGAATCTGATGGGGGCGTAGCTTCAGTGGCAGGCATTTTTCAGTGGAAGCGGCATTAGAAGTCATTCCAGTAATAAAAAGAGTACAGAATGAAGATTCCAGAATTAGACACTCCAACTCTCTCCAGCTCCGTAAATCGCATCTCCACGTCACCCAGGCTCCGATTTACTTTACTTCTCTCGTCTTTCATGTTTCGATTTTTATTTCTTAATAATACAGATAAAAAATGGTCATCAAAACATATTAGAAACTCCTGATATGCAATAATATTAAAAGATAGGGGGTTTTCTTGTTTAAATCCCCACATATAATCTTTGATAAAAATACCCATTTTTTATAAAAATACAGATTCCTGATTCTATTTCAACATTAATTATATTATCAATTAATAAAAAGCCCTATAACTTTTTCCAACAATTTCATGAATGAGAGCTGATAATGAGCAACCCAAGTCCAATTTTGAGCTTAAAAACGTTGACCTTGGTCAACCTCATAAGACTTGCACCCATTGACAACTCCACAAATGACAAGTCAAAGTCAATATTTGATAAAAGGTCAACTATTCCTTGCCACATAGTCACCTCTCTCTCTCTCTCTCTCCCTCCTTTGTTGGCTCATGGAGGCCACCCTTGGGTGGTGATGAGGTGGGCTTTAAAGTTGGCGATCATATGAACGGGGCTCCTATCAATCTTATGGCGATTCCGATTGGATACTGTAAATAATAATAAAGAAATAGGGGGTTCAGTAGTATATATTACGTGAGATGAAGAGGAGATAAGGGCGAATGTGTAAAAGCAAGGGGTTGGGCCCTATCTACCCTACTATCCTTTCTCTCTCCTCCGACTTCGTAGATGATGACTGTTTTATCTAGGGCCCTTTGGGATAGAAAGGGAAAAGAATGTGGACGAGGATAGAGGAGAGAGAAGCAAGAGGGTTTCTACTCTCTCTCTCTCTCTCTCTCTCTCTCTACTTTCTCATCAGCTTTCACTTTGGTGTCTCCATACTTTCACACGTGGATGCATGGGGGTTGGGATTGCTTGCCGGCTAAGGGAGAGGTGGGATCCTCCCTCCATGGGGGGCATTTTAGAAATCGCTAACTAGCTAAAAGAGATGTTAATTTTCTTTTAAATCTAAAGTATACAATTGATATTGTTAACTTCAAAAATACCTTTCCCAGGATTTAATTGCAACTTTGCCCATTTGACTTTTACCCAACGTCATTGTCATGCTGTTCAATCAAAAGCTGGGCATAAAGTCTGAGATGTGCAAAAATACCCCTTATTTAAGAAGGATTTTATCCTCAAGGCCCATTATGAACCCAATTATCCATGAGAGTAAAACTACGAGGACATAATTAAAATTACATATTAAAAATGGAAATGGCTGCTCTTCTTTTGACTCCAGGAGTCATCAAGGTGGGCCCAGCCCAGCCCAAATAGCCTTCGCTTGTTTGAGAGAGAGAGAGAGAAGTGGGGAAAAAAAAGGCGATTATGAAAGTAGATTGGGCCTGAGTAAAGATAATGAGTTTCAAGTTCCTGAGTTAGATCCAAACGAATAGTTTAGCCCGATAATAGATTGGGCCAAACTGGGCTGGTTGAACCAGGCAAGCACCCGGCCCATTAACAACTCTACTTGACCGTGGAAATGAGGGTTTGTATTGGGTGTTATATGCTAGCTCGTGCTTCAGCCCTAGCTCAACTGAAAAAACTAATATATTATTGCATATATATCCTCCTGAAGACAGAAAACTAATAATTTGGTGGACATATACCCTGACTAGCCATCTAAAACAAATTTTCTGCCATCTTTATCATAAACACCTTGTTAAACATGAAAGTTGAGTATTTGCTGCCACTAAGAAATTATTTGCATCCGAGGCCTTCTCAGAGGAGCCAAGGAGACCAAAATTCTCTCTTGGTAACCAAAAGAAAAAATATAATATTAAAAATATTAAAAATGTTAAATATTTAGGGTAGATTTACATGAATGCCACCACATCAACTAATGGGGCACCACCTTGATTTCCATCCCACAGATAACAAAATGGCTGCATTGGAATTATACCCAGTCAACCGACCCGCATGAGAACTGGGTCAATCTATATGAGAAATGGAGAGGCTCCTAGATGAACCCATCTTGATGTCTAGAGAGAGAAAAACTGGGCCTGGACCCCCCCTCCCAACTGAAATAAGCAGTGGGCAGGGCCACCGGCCTATTTCTCTCTCTAGCTTTGATTCTTAAGCCTAAACCAACCCAAGGAAACCTGCCTTCTGAGCCAACTGATTGAGCAATAGCCTGTTTCTCTCTCTAGGTTTGATCCTGGAAAACCTGACATCTGGGCTCTCTCTCCCTCTCTAGGTTTGAATATTAATCCCCGACCAACCAAAGAAAGCATGCCTTCTGGGATTGGTGGTCAGTCCAGGCCAAATTTCTTTCTAGGTTTGATTCTTCAAAGTCCAACCAAGCCAAGAAAACCTGCCCTCCATCAGCTCAGTCCCACCACTAATCATCACAACATCAACCATCTGAGACAGGAAAACCATGGGGGATTGGAGTGAGTTCCTCGTACCTGGAATCTCTCAGACCCCCATAATTAGCAACCATTGGAGAGAGGCTTCACCCCATGGGCAGCTGCTGGGCCTGCAAAAGAAAGAAGAAAGCAGCCGCATCAAATGATCCAGTAGCCCAGAAATAGAAGCTTTCTCTTCAGAAGGAAGACGATCTGCACCATTCTCTTTAGCATTGATGGCCGGCGAGCAGATCCCCGAAGAAGTCATCTGAGAGTGAGCTCTCGGCGGAATCGTAAGAGCTCAGGCGCTTCTTGAAGGAGCGAAGTTCTCTCTCATCCTTGGCCGTTCGCCTCTGGAGCACAAGAACAGGTTCTTGAGGGCTATTTTCCCCTTCTTTTTCTTTCAAGTATTGAGGAGGAAACGTTGAGGAAGGAGGTTGGTCAGTGGGTGCTTACGAAAGCCTTCTTCAGGAGCAGTATATCTACCAAGTACTGCAGCCATAGAACGTTCGTCTTGGGGAAACTGCCAGTCCGCCGATGGCAATGCCGTGAAATAGAGAGAGAAAATTTCCGTTTAGAACATTGCTAGAAATACTTGATAATTCTTGGGGTTAGATCAAGAACAATGTGGCAGAGGAATATCACCTTCCTTCCCAGGAATCTTCGGTCACTTCCCTCATCGTCCTGTATGTTTCTGACTGAAGAGAGCAAGAACTGTGATGTCCAGATATTGATGAAAAGAATTCTCGGATAAAAAAACTTATGCTTTGCTTCGAAAATACCTGTCTATCTCCTCTAGGGCCCTCGAACAGTCCTGGGTCGGCGGATAAATCAAGAAAAAGTATGGCTTCCCCTGCAAAAGTGGTAAGGCAGGCTGTTGGCTCCACACTATTAAAATCGAAACCCAGAATTCAGATTATCCAGTATGGATATAGATCTTGAACGACAGAACTAGGGAACTCTACATGAGAAAAGATGCCGCATTCGATCCCATTTGATGGGAAAACATGCTTCCTCGGTTACAGATAATGAATGACAGTTAGAGTCACAGCCTCGGGATCCTATGGCTTTTCCTCCTTTGCTGAAACATTATCGTCGATAATATTCCCTTTCAATTACCCACTTAACCAGTTACTCAATGATATTTATGGACCGTGTCCATTCTCGATCCCCGATAATGTAGTTTCTCAGAAGTTCTTTCACTTCAGATATGGAAGAGGAACAGAGGGAAATATTCAGATTAGTATTTCGATTCCTGATTGGCCAATTCTGGCATCGCTCGGGGCAGAGAAAATAGCAGATAACGTATGCATGCATGGGAGACATTCGACAAGTTGAATTTTTTTACTGGTCGAGGGACAAAAGCCATGAATTACTTCCATAGAGGGAATAAATGACGGGAAGGCCTCACCTGTGTTGATACGGGACAGAGTAAAGTCAATAATGGCTACTGCAAGCCCATGTGTCTTGACACTCATTTTTTTTCCTCGGATAGTAAAATCCATCATCTGAGCATCCTTACGAGCTAAGAGTATGTTCCCCCTGCAGAAGTCACGTTGGTCAATGACAGGGAAGGAAGCGCATCCAAAGAACACCATCCATAAGTAGAAAAAATCTTAGCCAAATAACTTAGAGAAGAAGAAACTACCAATGAAGGTCCCTGTGTTCGAATTCACAAGCAATTTCTGCCACAGCAAGGCCAGCGGCAACCTGTTAAGGCGCGAAAAGAAAAATTATGATAAAAGAACACAGCTGCTTGTACCAATAAAACTAGAAAATGAAGAAAATCAAAAGTCAACCTGAACAAGTAGGCTCCGAGCTTCATCGAAATTGAAAAGTACAAAACTTTCAAGGTCTCTACCCCCATCGGCTAGAACAAACACAATGTAACGCTGAAAAAAAGAATATAACTTTTTTTTACTCCGTATGTCTCAATCTAATGAAAAGGAAAGCTGCATTGATGTGCATGCTGGAGCATCTACGATTGGTGGATACATAGAACGTCAACAATGACGGACCTGTGTCTCGGAAAAATCCTTTGGATGATCGTTCTCAGATCCATGCTTTGCATCCCAGTCCTCCCATGCGTTAATCAGGGCAGAACCATAGGCACCTTGGCATACACGTAAGCTAGAAGTCAAATGAAATATCGGTCAGATAGGGCATCATAAACTGGGAATGAACTCATTATTTTCACACAGTGTATTCGAAGAAACTGCTAGGATAATTTATACCCAGCTAACAGTGATGGGACAAGTAAACCAATAGCATCTTCCAATGCTTAAATGAAGACTCAACGTACTCTTTTGTTTCAATGAAAATAGAACATGCATTTTCACGGTCCTTGTCATCTTGCCCTCTTAAGCTATTTAAAGTCAGGGACAGTAGAACTTCCTCAATGACTTCTTCTGATCTCTGGGAAAACGTAGTGAATGGTTAGAATTAATGGTTATGGCATCGTGTAACATGGACTCAGTGATCTTCGTACCTTCTGAACTTCCCCATTGACCAGTTGATCGCCATCAATGGGTACAATTTTGCACACAGCTGAACCAGCCTTGAAGGCCTCCCCATACGTGCCTTCGCCAATCTTAACTAAACTTCCTTGATCACTGCTTGTAGATAAGACGGAGTTCAACAGCAGACCATAGATGAAGAATATAACTGACAGAGCATATTAAAATATGTATAACGATACAGATTCTATTGGTTAATAAACGGTCAATTGAAATTCAGGTTTAAGTAAAGAGTCCCAGGAGCCAAAATTTTCCGAATTTCCTTGGCTGGTGGCTTTCTATGAGACCAAGGGAGAGAGAGGGGAGGTTCAGTGGGGGAGAGAGAGAGAGAGATAAATAAAACTAACCAGTACTGAGAAATCACTTCAGACAGTGTCAAAGGAGTTGACTGTCGGCAAACCATAAGCAACTGGGCAAATGAGCTCTTGCATTCTCCAGTCAGCGACAATGACTGGGAAGCCTCTGATTCCCTCCCAACTATCGTCAGATCATCAGTAGACTCTCCTCCGCCGTCTAACTTCGCAGGTTCATCCTCTGTAATGCGGAGATCATCAAAAGAACTGACTAAGCTGCTCCTAAAGTTCTCTCCGGATTCAGGAGTGTTCTCTGGGTGCTTCTCCATAGAAGTACGAGAAACCTCACTGCAACTGGATCCTGGTGGCAGTACTGGAGTTTCAATGATTTTAAACAAAGGTCCAGATGGCCTGCAACTGTATGCGAGCTTGGATATTCTCCATCTTTCCAAGATAGCAGGCAAATCATGCGCGGAATAGTTGTTCTGATTCTTTTCAATGCCCAAGGCCCAAGTGCCAACCTGCTTTGGCGACGGGCTTTCCTCCACCAGCTCGAAAGCATCAACCTCGTCGAAGTAAGCCCGCTCCTTCCGGAAATCTGGAGCATCCTGCTTTCCCGATCTCCTCTAGAACAAGAAAAAAAAGAAATAACAGTAGAAAAACCAGAAGAATAGTAATAAAAAAAATCTCCTTCAAAAAAATATTCATACTCGGAAGGGAACTACCTTGACTAGAATCTGCTTCAAGTTCTTCTCTTTCGCACGCCTCGGCTTCGGTGGAGGCCTGAAATCCGCACCAGGTGCAATGACGATGCTCTCTCTACCCCTGGTGAGGAAAAAAAAAGCAGAGGAGAGGATTAAAAACCAGTTTCTCAATTCACTAGGCTATATTAGATGCTGAGATGTTCTCCGCCATACCTTGTAGAGAGATCGCGGTTCCAGCTGATCCTCTTGCTCAATGCGAGGCTCACCCGAGTATGAGATTCCTTCCTAGATAAACACCTGTACGTTTTTTGAATCAAGGATAAGGCAGGGTAGCTTCATGAATCCAGGTGTCCGGACACATGGAAACCTATTCAAGTAAAAAGCCCCCCAAAATAGAATGTATTGACTGTGCTAACGTCTGGACATTCGGAGGTTCGCCAGTCCTCCTTCCGTAGACGACGGCGATCTTCTCCGGGTCCTCCTGCACTGCCTGATCCGCCTCTTCTCCCCGCGGGGTTCCGATCTCTGCCCAAAAAGCATGGAATTCTCAATACAAGCCCCTCCAACAATGCACATTGGTGGAGCTAGCTCCTCGCCTTACCTCTGAGAGATGCCATTCCTCTCTATTTCATCTTCTGGCGACAATTTCCACCCACAAAGAGAAGTAGATCGCCCGGACAAGGAGATGGAGGACAGACGAACTCTCGAGTGACAGTCCCCCCCTTCTCTCTCTCTGAATTTGGGAGGGAACCAACCTCATTCGAATCGAGGATATCAGTGGTTATTTATATTTTAGCCCTTTGAAATCCATAAATTCCCTAAAACCCTTATGATTTTAAATATAAGACATGCATGCACTATATTTCCCCTATCTGTGCCCCCAGCGCAGTTAGTCAACGGGAGGTGGGGACATAAATATAATATCGATGGTAAATATTAACAAAAGGTTTTGATTCAGGATAGTGAAACTCTTAACTAAATCAAAAGTCAACCTTTTAGTAGTCAACTATCGTACAAGCAGGAGAAGAGCAGTAGATGAGATGATTGTATATAAATAGATCTTTTTATGAAACTCAGTAAGTATTGACCATTCTGATGCTTTGACTATCGCTCATAGATAAGTCAAACTTACGTTCCATAACTTAATATGGTAAATATAAATAGTTATACTAAATCCCTTGTGAATTTTTTAAGTGCATGAAAACTCTTATCATTTTAAAATTAAAAAATGGACGCAATATATTTCCCCTAATCCGTTTGAGCGGTTGAACCTGATTACATCACAGCAACGCAACCAGTCAACGGGAGATGATGGGGGCATAAATGTAATATCGATGGTAAATAAATGTAAATCAAAGGTCAAACATTACAAAAGTCAACGATGAGATGATCGCATATAAAACAGAATCTTTCCTTTGAAACTTTGAAAGTATTGAAACATTTTCCACCGTTTGGCAAAATTTATAATTGACCATTATTACATTTTTGACTTCGCTTACAGATTAGTCAAAATTATCTTCCAGGATCCCTATTAAGTTGAATGGAAAACCTTAACATTTGATATATTTCAAAAAATGTACACTATATTTCCCTTAATCCTTGTCAACGGCTAAGGCTGATCCAGATCAAGACAAAACAAAAAAGTCAACGGGTGGTAGCATGTGGGGTCTTAATATAATATCTGTTGTAAATATTAATAAAAGGCCATCATCCGCGTGAGTTGAACTCTTAACTAAATAAAAGGTCAACCCTTTCAGCAGTCAACTATCACACAAGAAGGAAAAGAGCACTAGATGAGATGATCTGATCTTTTTTTTTCTCTCTGAAACTTTGGGAGTAAAATGTCTTATGACCATTAGGACGGTCTGACTTCCCTTAAGTCAAACTTATCATCCAATAACTTAATACGGTAAATAATGTATTGACCAGATTCAAAGGACCGGCTTCTTTGTGGGCCGACTCAAAGAGGTCCTACACGTAAGCCTAGCTGGCGGCTGTCGTTTTCCGACGTGGCAAAACTGGGTCTATAATCCCATCTCTCTCTCTCTCTGTCTCTCTCTCTCGCTTGCATGGTGCAGGACGGCCCGGGCCGACGGGGTTTGCAGTGGGGAAAAGCCCGTTGAGGGCCTTTAATTGACCGTTGGGAATTCACCGTCCGACGATGCCACCGCAACGGTCAGATTCCAGGTGGCAGCGCTGGTCCCCAGGTGGGGGGCAGCAAGTCGCGACGCCGTCTGCGTCTGAGTTTCACATCAGGTCCACGTCATCAATTCGGCTGGCGCACGATAGCGTCACACGGGCCGTCCTCTCTCTCTCTCTCTTCCACTGGCGCTTTATTAGCCTTGAATAGACGAAATTAAAAAATTCTTAAATAGGGAAAAGTCCATCGTCGGATTGGCTCAGACCGACACGTGGCCCAGTGAATCACCTTTTCCCAATAAATAAAGATTGATTAGTTCCTTTTTATTAGGCCTAAAAATCAACCCCCAGACACGCACAGCTCAGCTGCTGCTGCTCTCTCTCTCTCTCTCTATATCTTTCTCTCTGCTCTCTTCTCTCTCCCTCTCTATCTATCTGTCTGTGCACTCATCTCTCTTCTCGTTCTCTGACTGGCAGCACCTAACCCTGATAGCGCTCTCCTTCGTCTTCGTCTTTGTGTTCGTTCCTCGCCCTATGCGGGTAGGAGACCCAGGAGGGCAGGGCGTCTTCTCGACGGAGTAGAGCTCGGCGGCCGGCGGCGTCACCGGCATTTGTGCCACCGAGTTGCAGGCTGCGCCGGCCTGGTGGGGGAGGAATCCCCGTTTGGAAATATCTCCTCCGGTTGAGGGCGTCTCTGTTCTCCGTTTTGGGTCTCAACCCACAAGTGCTTCTGCAGACGGCCACCCGGGGGAGGAGAGTGGCGGAGCTCCGTGGCCAGTTCCAACGGGGGTTGGACATGCAGCTTTAACGGCGCCCGCGAGAGGGTCACCTTTCCGGGGGGATCTAGGATTGCAGGTAATAAAAAGAAGAGGCAAAACCATAGAATATGGTTCAAATATGTGAAGAAGTTAGGCCTGCTCTTCTATCGGTTTGGTGCCAAATCTTCAGGTTCTGGGGCCGTCCCCAATTGGCAGAACCACTGCCTTTTTAGGTTGACTGCTAATGTCCCTAGTTCATACTGGCGGCGATTTAACCATTTCAAGTATCCTCTCACGTTGACTTCAGTAACTAGGATCCCAGTATTTCCTCTAAAGGTCCCTATCTGGTTCTGTAATTTCAGAATCTCTTCAGCTTTATCACCCCGGGATGTCACCTGTGATTTAGACTAGTTCATTATCACCACTTTACTCTCTGCCTCCTGTTGGATTCTCTGGATTTTTTGAAACTTTTCTTAGAGCCTTTTGGTGGTTCCTGCCGATCCTCATACGTCACCCCTGCCATTTAGTCAATCTGTCAAAGACTTGGGAGCATTCATTTCAATTTATCCTAGGAGATCATATGCGATGTAAGTTTTTGACTTCTGGCCTAAGCTTCATTGACGTAGATGAGTAGAAGTGATGTTTCAGCTATTTCCTAAGTTCCTTTCCATAAAGACAAAGATTTTTTTTCTAATTAATTTTATCTCAGATGGTATTTTTATTTCAATAATGCTTACTCTTTGTTTATTTAATCAACATTTTGCTCCTTGCGATTTCCAACCTCAAAGCTTCATACTTTTTGTTGGTTTCCTTCTTGACAGGAAGCTTCTGAAGAACACAAAAATGTCAGACTCTGGGAACTCTCTCAATTCGCATCTTTCACAGAAAACATTGTTCTTTGGCCTCAGGGTGTGGGTTGTGATCGGAGTGGTCGTGGGGGTATTCATCGTGGGCATTCTTTCAGTTCTAGCTATATGCGTCAACATTAGGAGTAGGAGGAAGTCCAAGAAAGCTGCAGACAACATCCCCGTTTCCCAGATTCCTGCAGTGTCCAAGGAAATCAAAGAAGTCAGAGTCGATCATGTGTTTGCTGACAGTGATTTTCCTATTCGAGATGGGATCAATTCTATTCACGGCAAGGCCGGCGAGAAGGATTTGGAGAATGTGATGGGTTTTGGCAGAGCTAGGCATCTGGAGGGGAGCAATCTCTCTGATTCTTTCAGCCGGAAGAACAATGACTGCAACTCCCAGTCTGGAGATGAAGGAAGCTCTGGCACAGCCAGTGTTTACAAGTTGTCGTCTTCCCACCCCGTGGCCGCTCCTTCGCCTTTGACTGGCCTTCCGGAGCTCTCTTATCTTGGTTGGGGACACTGGTTTACACTGAGGGATTTGGAGATGGCAACGGGCCGGTTCTCAAAGGATAATGTCCTGGGAGAGGGTGGGTATGGGGTTGTGTATCGTGGATGCTTGGTCAACGGGATGCAGGTTGCCGTCAAGAAGCTTCTCAACAACCTGTAATCTCCCATGGCCTCACCTGGCCGTCCGTTCTCTGCTTTCATTCAGTCTCTGGTTCCTAGAGCCTGCGAATTTATTTTACATTTTAATGCAGTGGCCAAGCTGAGAAGGAATTCAGGGTAGAAGTGGAGGCTATTGGTCATGTCCGGCACAAGAATCTGGTGCGACTCTTGGGGTACTGCGTGGAAGGTACCCAGAGGTAGTGGCAGATTGACTCTTTACTACACTCTCTGCTCAAAGTAATCTTTTAGTTGTTATTTAATTATTGGAGTATGTCTATGCTAAATTAGTTTTAAGCATTTGAGATTCTGGGTCATGAATTAAATTGCGAATTGTGCTGGTTTTTTAATTTTTTTTCTCAGATATAATGGGTCATGCCGGTATTTTTTATTGATTTCCGTTGTCCATATCACTTGATCTACTTACTTAGGATGCTGGTTTATGAGTTTGTCAACAATGGAAACTTGGAGCAATGGCTCCACGGGGCGATGCGGCAGCACGGCTCTCTGACTTGGGAAGCGAGGATCAAGATTCTTCTGGGCACCGCCAAGGCGTAAGTCAACTACTGAGTCCCATCTTTTGGAATTGCTAAAAATGTCTGTCGGTCGAGGATTCATTTGGAATTGTTTGGGTGTCTTGGTTCAGTCTTTCGTATCTGCATGAAGCTATTGAGCCCAAGGTTGTGCACCGAGACATCAAATCCAGCAATATACTGATAGATGATGAATTCAACGCAAAGGTATCTGATTTTGGCCTCGCCAAGCTGCTGGGTGCCGGAAAAAGCCATATCACAACCCGAGTGATGGGAACATTTGGGTTGGTGCTCCTCACATATTCTTCCCTTTTCACCTTATAATTCCATAGTTACATCTGGCATGATTTCCCTTTCTTCTACTTGTATTCAGGTATGTGGCGCCCGAATATGCGAACACTGGTCTACTCAATGAAAAGAGCGACGTCTACAGCTTTGGGGTTGTTCTGTTGGAAGCTATTACGGGGAGGGACCCTGTTGACTACAGTCGCCCTGCAAATGAGGTGTGGAACCTCATCATTTCCTATTTTAAATGGAGTTTTCTGCTGAAACTTTTGAAACGTTTGGAAGTTGATGAGACTGAGTTCCGCAGTGCATCATTGCTGCACAGATTCTACCCATCTTTAATGTTTTTTTACCGAGATTGATAGATGTATAGATTTCATAAATTCATCTGGTTGAATCATTTATAGCAAGATAAATCATCATCTTAAAAAAAAAATGATAAATATTTTTTTATTTCTTCTTTTTTGAAGGCTGTTCATTTTAAACGGATGATTCGGAATCTTTTTTTTTTTTACATCTTGTTCATGCATGCACCTGGAGTAGGTTTAATTTCTTCCATATCAAAGGCTCCTCTCAATGATCAACCTTCTTCTTTCTTGTTCTTCCATCTAAATGGAGTAATCCAAAGGGTGTGCTTCACCTGTCTGAGGCTTTGCTAATATCCATTTGGGTTTTTATAGGCTCGAATGTCTCTTTCCTTGAAATTTATGGGTTCGGCTGTATTCATCCTCATTCTTCATTTTTCTACGATCAAACCATTTTTCTCTAGGATTTCTCTATCAACAACATCAATATTCTCTCTGATAAAAATAAGTAAATGACTAAATTTGAGCCATAAATAAATTGTGGAGCTTTTAATTTTACATCCCATTCTCCCATGCAAAGTTTCTCTACATATTATTAAGTCTATTATTGGAATTATTATATTTTCTCTCTCTACTTCCAGGTGAATCTTGTAGAATGGCTCAAAATGATGGTAGGGAGTAGGCGTTCAGAAGAAGTCATAGACCAGAGCATTGAGAGACCTCCGTCCTCTAGAGCTCTCAAACGGGCACTCCTGACCGCTTTGAAGTGCGTTGACCCGGATTCGGAGAAGAGACCGAAAATGGGCCAAGTTGCCAGGATGCTGGAATCTGACGACCCGATTCCTCGTGAGGTTTGGATTCTAATTTTGGTTTCTCCTTGCTTATTTTGAATGTTCTTGTCAAGCTGCCTATCAAGACTATATAAAAAATGGAGTGATTTAGGATCTTTAATTATTTTTGGCCTAAATTCACATAAATTCCATCGTCCTGCGGAAATCATCATTCATTCAGATGTATCATGTAATATTTCCTAAAAATCACACTTTGAAATCACCATTTGTTCATCAATCTCATCCCATTAATTTTCTGAGTCTTTTCCTCGAGTTGCATGATATGGACTGGTCTAGGATCTTTAATTATTTTTGGTCCAAATTTAGATAAATTCCATCTTTAATTATTTTTGTTCCAAAGTTGTATCATGTAATATATCCTAAAAACTACGCTTTGACATCACCATTTTTTCCTCAATCTCATCCCCTTATTTATCCGAATCTTTTCCTCAAGTTGCATGATATAAACGCTACTCTCATACACAGATCATCATTTCATTTAATTGCTTACCATTTAATATTTCCAAAGAAAGTAAACTTCGGCACTCGTCATTTAATGATGTTAACAGTTCCTGCTCTACTTGAGACTGATTTTGATGTGGGTTCAATGCCATCTTTAATGATCTTCAGGATCGCCGGCACCGGCGTCGTCGGGCCAGCAACACTGAGATCGAGCTCCAGGCCGGGAACTCTGACACTGACAAGAGCGACAATCCAGATGCAAGGGATCCCAGGGCCACGGCTAGTTGAGATTCTCTATCAGGAGATGATGAACTGGCGATGCTTAATCCGGATGATTCTTTTGGCCCTAAATTGCTTCATTACTATTATTTTTGTTATAAATATTATGGGATTGAGATCGGAGTTTTCTTGCTGCCCGTGTGGATATTGGAGGGGATGAACTAGCCGTGTAGCTTTTATATATAATATATATATATTTTCCCACTAGGATGAATTATTTTCTGTTTTTCATGTAAAATGAAGGCCATCCAACATTACCCATGATTCCGAATGGTGGGCTTCGATCACATTCCCATCTATCCTGTAGAGAAATATGCCTGTTCTATGTTTCTGTGTATGTATATATGATCAGAATTATATATGATTTGAATTTGAATTTTATTTATTTTTACATTGTTAACAGTTGTTATGTGGTCAAAAGGGGCTGACTAGTTCTTGGGAGACCATGGAATCTATCAATGGGCCGGGGCGGTGTGGGCCCGTTAGGCCCAATAATATTTCAAAAGGGCCTGGCCACAGAAGGAAGCCTCCAGTATTATGCCATTAATTCTTTTTTTTTTTTCAGACTGATTCCTAAGTATATGATGTTTATGTTGTCTTCTTAACTACCATTTATTTATCCTCAATTTTATTTTCTAATAATTGAATGCGCATCTCACAAAACCTGTCGAATAATACTGCATCCGTATTTTAGGTGCAGAAATATTATTTTATTTTAAATGGAAATATTATTCTAAAAAATCACAAATTGATGAGTTCTAGTGCAAGTATCAATAATCTTACTTCACCGACTTGGGGTATTACAAAAATATGTAGACCATTAAATAAATTGGATATGGGGTCAACTTTGCTACCTTGATAGCCAATTAGCGTTGTAAAATTATGAATTATCCAATGTGGAGTTTACCACAATCGGCAAGTCTAAAGGCCAGACAAAGTCAACTCCAGTTTTGACCTTCTGGGTTTTCAACCTGCTAAAAAGAAAAAAAATTAAGCCTCCCAAAGGCACCCCTCTCTCTCTCTCTTTCTCTCTCTAGGTTTCTGATTTAGGCAGGCTGAAATCTCACATTGAACATAAATGGGATGAATATTTCTGATCAATGAAAGAAAGTATGAACAGCATGAAAAGGAAAACTGTTTATTTGGAGATTTTGATAGATAACTAAGGATTTAAACTTCCCTCATATGAACACATCACCCAAATTCTCCGGTGCCATAAAGAAAGGGGAGATACACAAACTGAGAACCAATCGAGGACCCATCAGGGCAACCACATAGAGAGAGAGAGAGAGAGAGAGAGAGAGAGAGAGAGAGAGAGAGATGCCCTCAGAGAACGCACAGTTTGGAGCCCAATAGAATAAGAAAGAGGATGGCGAGAGGGAGAAGAAACGATGAGTTCAGGGCTCAGGCGCTCGGTGCCTATCCAGCAGAGGCTGCAGGGCTTTGACCACGATGCTCATGTTGGGCCTAAAGTCCGATTCATACTGCACGCACAGAGCTGCGACAGCTGCCATCTGAGACAGTACCAGAAAGATGCATCAGCCGGCTTGTAGAGAGAGAGGGAGAGAGAGAGAGAGAAGGAACTAATAACAGAAGCTTGTTACTTTTCTGAAGGAGATCTACCCAAAGATTGTACAACGAAGGTGCACTGATCTTTCAAGTTTGAAGAGGGAAGAAGAGCAGAAGTCTAACATATTTGCGTTAAGGGTGGGTAAACCCAGAAAAAACAGGGGTTTCACCACGATTCTAATTAAAAAACTACCAATATTTTTTGAAAGAGAGTTTTTTTGGATAAATAAATAAAGATAACAGGTGCTGCGAATTCTTTTGCATTATCAGGAAATTCAATGCAACATTCTGAACATAAAAAACGGATTATTAAATTGACTCTGCCTGCAGTTGCCAAGACATAATAATGAGATTAGACTAAAAAGGAAATCAAACATCGGCAAAAAAACACGATTATCGGAAGCAAAAATATTAAGCCTTAAAAATTTACCTTTGCAACAGCTTTGGGAGGGTAATTGTTCCCCAGCCTTGCATCGACACACTGCCTCACCTTGTCTTCACTGAGTTTTGGCGTGGCCTGCACATTTTCGGACCCATGATTAACATCTTGACCAGATTTGGACCATAAATAGTCAAACCAGAGCTCCAAGAATAGCATAGTCCAGCTTTAGTACCCATGTCACAAGGCTCTGTTGTCCACGTGGCAGTGTATGGTCAACTGGCTTGCGGCCAGTCAGAAGCTCCAAGAGAACAACGCCGAAGCTATACACATCGCTCTTGGAACTGAGCTGCCCAGTCATGGCGAATCTGCCAAGTCAGAGGGAAAGAGAGAAAGGTTAACGTCATATGGGCAGAAACCTTCTACATATCATATGAAATCTATCAGCGTATGCATAATGCAAATAGGAAGTAGAGATACTATTAATCTTCTGCGTTCTTCTGCTTTGGTGGTGAATGAGCAGAGGGCCTAATGACAGCTTTGAGGGTGACTTACTCTGGGGCGTGGTAACCAAAAGTTCCCAGGACACGCGTCGAGTGGAGGCGGGCTGCCATGTCAGGGGCTTGATTTGACAGGTCAAAGTCGGCGATCTTGGCCACCTCATCGTCAAATATCAGCACGTTGCTGGATTTAATGTCACGGTGGATGATGTGAGGCTGAGCTTTCTCGTGGAGGTATTCCAGGCCTCGGGCTGCTCCCACAGCAATTTTCACCCGCTGGGCCCACGACAGCACTGGGCCTGGCTGTGCATCCTTAACACCCTTTCGGCCTAGAAATAGAAAGTTCACCGTGTGACTTCACTGACAAGTGAAACAAGTTTCAGAAGCAGAGTTACCCAATTGGTTTCCACAAAAAATGAGGATGGTTGTCCATGAAAACCTCCAAATGTGAAGGAAAATAGATCAACAAAAGCTGTCGCACCATTGAAGAGCAAAAAATCATGCCCAAGATGATGCCTTTATAAAGAACCATAAAGATGGGTATGTGCCTGAAATAGAAATCGAAGTATTGGGTTGTGAGTTTTCAGCTCAAAGTTGATACCCAGTGAATGGAGGGTTTATGGAATTGACTACGGGCTTATATTTCTCAGGGCCAGCGTGAAACCCTTCCAATATGGCTCCTCAGATCACTCTTCAATGCCCTGCTGTGGATAATTCAAGTGGGGTGGTAAAGAAAGCTTCCTCAGATTGTAGTAGAGCAGATTAATGACGAACAAATGCCCAGAAGAATTAATTTTCGACCCCAAACTTCGACATCAGCCATTCTTGGAGGAACCTTCTACAGTCTTCGACAATCCATAAAAGGTACGAGGGTTGGAGAAGAAGATTGATATCGAGACCTAACAAGGTTAGACTACATAGCTTAAGCATACTCCCTATCTTCTACACACATCCTGATTCATTTCTCACGGATTCTGTTACATAGTCGACTGAACCATTTACAAGAACAAAACAAAATGCACTGGGTTCGTAGATTTGGTCAAGTTTTACAGGGGATGTGCTGGAGGAGGCAACAAAGAGAGTATGATTTTGTACCAAAAAGGATTTCGAAGTAACTCCATCCAGCTTGAAATTTTGGAGTCATATTTTAGCATTAAAAATAGCAAAAAAAGAAAGTACACATGGAACCCCAACAATCAATCAACTATATCAGGTAATTGAGCTTACTCTGACGTTAAAAAAATTAAAAAAAAACACAGATTTTTGTGGATAAAATATGGAAAGAGACAAACATTGGAATTGCTATGGTCCATGATGCTGTGAGGTGAGTAATGCCAATCTCTCACCGTGGAGAATATCATGAAGGGACCCCATGGTTGCGTACTCAAACGCAAGAACACGTACATTCCCATCAACGTAATAACCAAGCAGCTCGACCACATTTTCATGTTTCAACCTTGAAACCATGGATACCTGCCAAAGTCTTCATGATCACATCGCCATAGAAGGGGCACATAGAAGATGATATCTGATAGGTATCAGTATCAGATAGAAATACGGACCTGTGCCAGGAATTCATGATCTGGCTGCTTATTGTCGTCTAGTTTTTTTACAGCAGTAGCCCTCCCATTTTTCAATACCCCATGGTACACTCTCCCGTAAGAACCCTCTCCTATCAAAGCCCTGGGCCCAAAGTTTTCCGTAATGTCCCTCAACTCATCTAAAGGAATTGATGGGACCTCAATCGGCTGGACTCTGACGGCCTGAGCTGCCCTTGGAGCAGAATCTTGCGCGTGATAACCTCTGTCGTTGCCTGATAAAGAGATTTCACCTTAGTTCGAATGAAATAGCAGTAAAACATTTTTATTAAAGACAAAACGTCTATTAAAGGCTGGTAAGTTTAGGATAGAAATATCAGTGAATTCCACTTAACTTACTCCCGATTAATGTGAGCTAAAAAATTAAGCCTGAATCCAAGAAGAAAATATGACTTGTACTCCGAAATGTTGGTGGTATAATAAGAGTAACAAAAATGAAAAATACAAAATTATCTCAGTATGCAAAACTAATCAACTGAACAATTAAATTTCCTCGCTAGATATCACACCTATGCTTTCCTACAGACAAGGTCTTTTAGAACCTGTTTATAGGAGGCTAAGATATTAATTAATGTGAATTAACAAGTTTGCTGGAGTTATTTGTGTCTTCTGACATATTTCTGAACACATTTGAAGCAGTTATCGTTCTTCAAATGCCGCATTTTTGAAAAAATAAGTAAAAAGAAAGAATGTGAACGTAATTAACATTATTTATAAGCTTATAAAAGAAAATTATCATAAAAAAATGATCAGCTAGATCCCATGCCACTAGCATTACCAAGTGCTACAAAGGCTCCATGACATGGTGCCACAGTGGCAGGCACCCAGTGTGTCCAAAAGAAAACCGTGGCTACTATGCTCAGCCACGGGCAAGAAGTTACGGGAATAGCAATGCCCTAGCAGAAAACTGTGCTGACAAGGAGGGTATTCAACAAGCCATGCCGTACTCCCATACAGCCAAGTAACACAAGACATCCCGTGCAACAAGCAATGACCAAGCTGCTTGCATAGCTAGGGGCAGGCAGACTGAAAGCTAACATGAATGGGCCACCGCACCAGCCACATGAACTTACACAAGCCTTGTTCAGTCACAGTACTTGAGGCACACATCCCTTCTAGACGGTGGACACATGGGGGACACACCCACTAGCCTAGACGAAGAAATGTGCACCACATGTACCATGTACACCTGCACAGCAATCGGGCAAAATGCAGTGCGGTCTGAGGTGGTTTTGGTAGGCAGGAAACACCTCTATGCACTTGAATGGCAGATTAAGATGGAGCTAGCTGAGGATAGCTGACAACCAGAGAAAGACTAAAATAGTTGATCACTACATGCAAATGGATCTGGTGCAGCTGTCCTCCCTCTGAAATATAGGAGCCTAGCACGTTTTAATTCTGAATAACATTTACCTATCACTATCGTAGCAATTGGCAAACGAGGTGCAAGGCCGCAAATGGCAGCTGATAGTCTGTGGTTATGAAACGTTGATAAGAAGCCATAGTCAGTTGTGGACGTGAAGACCATGTTTTTTTTTCTCTACCTTCGTTCATTTTTTTTCCTTTTCCTTCTTGTTTCGTCGTTGCTGCTACTAGTCTATATTTATGTAAACCTTGAAACATTACAGTATTTTAAATATTTCCTATCTGGTATACTAACCTTCCTTTTTTAGGTGAACGTCTGAACTAGCCATTTTATGCACTGAAATTTTATATTGACGACTTAACTATTTCCTATATTAATTTTCGCGTTTCTTATCCAAATGGAGGTTGGGTTGTTGATATATGAACTCCAGAATAGCAGACTTTGAAACTTTTAGGGCAAAAACCTTTGCCTAGAACTACGTTTCAAAGTCCACTGCATTTTGATAAATATGGTTTTTTTTTAGATTTTTTATCTTGATGGATATGCATCTCTAAATTTATCTTAACAGACACTAGATGCTCATGCTATGTTTTTGTCTGGCATAACTTGCTCATTTTAGTTTGTGTTATATTGCAGCTACTGATGATATGCCAGGGATGCGAGACTGGAATTGCAACAATTGCCATATCCCACACAAAATGAAAAAAATTGTCACTGACAAACAAATATTAGTTATCCACAAAGAAATAGAAGGATTTACATACATATATATATATATATATATATATATATATATATATGTATAGACATATGTATATATGTGGATGATACAAATGTGTGAACGGTTATACATAGGCTGCACAAGAACAGGCTTTAAGACTTTCAGAAATCAAGCAAAATATTGGTATCCCCATAAATTGGATAGCTTAGCCTACTTAGGTACTGCTTGAGGCGTATACTGAACAAAGAACTAAAGCAAAAATCAATTGGCTTCATATGATATTTCCAGATGCTTGGATAAAAGACACAACACTGGAAACAATAACACTATGGATTCCCTCCAACTTGGCACGCCAAAGGAATCTCATTCGGGGCAAGCAGAGCCAATAACATCAAAACACAGACCACACAACAAAATGAGTTTAGGCACAGATGGCATAACATCTTCTATCCACTACTTGGGCAAAAATGCTTCAGAATTCTTGGTTTCGAGTGTTACATTACCTGCTGCATAGTTTGTCACATACGGCCTACCGCCATCAGGCGGTCCATGGAAATCCTCCTCTTGGCAACATGAGAAGCAACCCATGACTTTGTTCTCTCAATCCTTCAACAAGTAAAGGAACCGTTAAATTTCTCAGAAAAGAATCACACCAGTTATAGCATGCCCACAAAATGAAATCCACCACTTCTATAACATCATTACCTATGACTGGCTAACAAAGCATCACGTGATAACCCACACATTCCATGATCATTTTATTTTTTTTTCTGAGTTTAACAAGTATGAACACTTTCTGATTCCATCATCATGATCCCAAAACTTGTCCACGAGTTGCACACATAACATCAGGTCTTACTGATGGGGAACAGATCAAAATGTCACTTGGAACACCCATGGACTCTCATTTAGTTTCTTGAAGCACTTATGACATGCGCAAAAAACTAAATAATTTTGGAACTCCATCTTTCCATAGGGAAGTATACCAGGACAGTTGATTTATTGACTCAAGAAGAAAAAGAGTGGAGGACGCAGAAAATGGCAGTCCAGCAGTACATGAGAACGTAAGACCTGACTGTCTCATAGTTGCATGTGACATGTTCAAGAGAATAATCCAATAATGAAATAATGTGTTGCGTGAACCAAGGTTCCCCGCCACAACATTATGAACCATCATACTATGATTTATAGCTAAAAACAAAACCCGGTGAAAAGGTAGAATCTAAGCCACCACCACATGTATTTTATATCATTGCAGATATAAAATGTAACAGAAAGCAGGTGGCAAGTACTGAAAAGCTTGGGAAAAAAATCTAGATATGCTCATTACGTTTCTGGAAAGAATATGTTCGTGTGTGCCACATCTATTTAGGTAGACTAGAAAATTTGACCAATTATATTACCCATCATTGTCAGTTGGTGGGTGGTTCATTGATGCAACCAATGATAATGGTTTTCCTTTTATAAACGCAGAAACACAAGAATTTTAATGGTATATTTCATTAATTTTTTCTTCAAGTCGGAGTCTAAACCTCACTTATTTGGGAAGTAGATGCTACCAACATGGTTCACATAACTGACATCTGAGGATGAAAGATTTCACCAGCCAAAGAGACATCTCTTTACACACGCAGGAAGAGAACACTGCATTCTCTTTTACACCGTTTTCTACTGATGCAAATACATTGGACACGATAAAATAGAGATCCAATCTTCAGCACATAAATGAAAGAAAGGTGAAAAGAAAAAAGCTGATGCAGCCTCGTTAATATGCTTCCAGACAAATGAACAAAGTCACAGGTGATTGACGGGGTCAACTTTCACCAACTAAGCAAAATGCTTTTAGACAGTTGAGGAATGATTCGATGACGTAAGATGAACTGAAAAAGGATTAAAAGAAAAATACACATCACCAGGTCAAACCTATGGCGCTAATGTTTCCAGACCATAGAGTCTACCCAAGAAAATCCTCATTTACCCAAAAATGCTCAAAACTGTTCAATCAATAGCCAAAACCCCCTGATGAATTCCAGCCCAATATAAGCTGGAAGCCTCTCTCGAAAAGAATCTCTCAGCGACAGATGACATTGCTTTCACATGGCTATATTACCAGAGAATCTCCATCATATTTCCTTTAGGGAGTCAAAAAAAATCACGATTTACTGAATGTGAAGCTCCCTTTTCCCGCGAAATTTAAATCCGCTTTTCTATTTACAGGGTTTTTGCTCTCCTGGGTTTTGACCATCATAGAACAACAACTCATGCCCTATTTTTCGAGAAATGCAGCAGAACCCAAACACAGGGAGTTCTCTCCAGGTAGCATGCTCGGTGCTCTAGCTAAAGTGAGTCATCACCTACTGCAGACGGAAGAACTGCCGGCAAACAACCCAGAGAGGCATAAGAAATCCAAAGAAGGATGAAGTCACTATCTCCGCTTAATACCATATTTAAGGAAAGCGATCCTGTCGTTGATCTAACCTTAAGAGTCGCCACCCCTCCGGAAAAAACAGTCAGTAAAGAGTAGACCGACGGGCCATGAATTGCCAGCACGAGCTAGGGTTCTTCCTGAGGCGACTATCCTCCATTTAGGGTGGCAAGCAAAATGTCTTTTCCCCGACCCAAACCCCGGAAGTCGTCGATCCCAGATGAATCCCCAATTCTGCAGGGAAACCTACCAACTGAGAACACGCAAGTCACCAATCCACCATGAAGAGAAGAGATGCTAAGAACAGACATCAAGCACAAACGAAATTCCCGCGACATCAAACTCTAACAACCAGTATAACCTCTCAATCCCACAAGAAATAGACTGAATCAAAACAAGGCAAATTTCTCCATCGAATACGGGGAGAGGACGGACCTGTAGCTGCCGATCTGTCTCACCCAGCGCACGCAAGGGGCCGAGAACAGGGCCGCCCTTATGGTGGGTGAGAAGGTGCCTCTTGGTTTCCCTTCTCTCTCTCTCTTCCTCCCCCCCTCTCCTCCCCTTCCTTAAAAGTAATCCCCCACGGAAGTGCTCCTCGTCGCCCAAGTAGACCAATCAAGATATCAATTTGCCTGGGACCCACATCGTACTGTTCGTCACCGCCATGACCCACTTCACCTTTTCACCTTCATTGCCTGTTCTCTCCCTTGGGAAGGGAAGAAGCTCCCAAAGGGGATTAGCAGTCAAAAGCTGGAACTACTGCCGCCGCTATGCTCTGTACCCACCAAGCAGTGCCGTCACCGCAATCCGAGCAGCGTTGAAAGGGTCGTGAGGCAGGTGACCATATCACGTCCTGAAAGGGTTGACTTCGTCGGTCGTCTCTGATGGCTGGCCTCTCGGACATCGCTGTCGGCGGCAGCTCAGACCATGTCCTTTCCCACTAGCCTAGAAAGAAAGACGACGGCTTTCTTTTCCGACTGAGGCAAGTTATTTGCCACGTGGAGATCCATTAATCGATCCACTCAGTCCAAGCACAATATCGGATCTTGAGAGAAGGAATGTTAACGGACACGAGCTCATAAATAGGCCCAATAATATGCCGTATTCCCGACTAATAGGCCATGTGGCACAGCTCATATGTGGCCTTGCCTGTTGACCAGCTTGCTTAAGAGGCCACTTAAGAAATTAGGCAACTAGGACTAAAGGGCTCATAGAAGCTCTGAATAAAAGTCAGCATAGAGGAATCTTGATATCTTAAAATCAAAATAGTTTTTATATTTAAATAAAAGTATATGTGATAATTGATAATAACTACAAACGTTTCCTTTTAAAAAATAAAAAATATTTAATTATATTCCATGTGAGGAAATATATAGGGAAAATAATGGTCTAAATTCTAAAAATAATATGTTATTTTATTAAATGAAAAATAGTTAAAGCATCATGTATCACTATTTAACATGGAATCTACCAACACCAAAGATTGTTATACAAACATATAATTAAAGGGTGATGGTTGAAGTTTAAGGTGTGAGTTTATGAGTTAGAGTCCATGTGACCATTTTTAGGTTATTATGTAGGCTAAACAGTGTACCAAGAGGGGGGGTGTGAGTTAATTTTATTGGTGGTTTTAATAATTTTATTTAATTAATTTTTTAAAAGTCCTAAGTGGGTCAACACATGATTCAATGCACTAAGTTTCAAAAAATGGCAAACATAGATTTATAATGGTTCTACTTTTCTTTGACCTGTGTCCACTGTCAAATGACTTTACTTTTGGTTTCCACTATTTTCCCATAGAGAATTAGAGTCAAACTTTATAGGATTGGTAAATCTCTTTACACAATAAATTTCACATCTATTTTCCCTAGCCAGATAGCAAGAGAGTAGTTTACCTGTCTACCTTGTTATCAACATTTTCCTATAAGAAAATAAGTTTCAAAAACTTACAATGAGCCTTAGATGTTGAAGAGGCAACTTCCTTATGGTGGAGGATGAATTGAGCTCTAAAGAAACTTGAGCATGAAGGAACTAAGAATAGAACTTTTCATGAGGATTTTTCATCGATCGAAAAAGATGATTTGATGTTGAGGTGTTATTTGAAAGCTCTTTTAAAGTTTTTTTTTATACACCTTCAAAACATGATCTTAAGATATCAGATATTTGACAGATGACTAGTTAAAAGACTGCATAGGTTGACCCATTGCTAAACTATGTGGTTAGACCAATTAAAGTGATAGTTTGACTAGATTTTGACCAAGTTAGACTATAGATGTGTCAATCAAAGATATTTTGAGATATTCTGACCACTCACCGTACACCACTTGTGTTAGATCCTCTACCATGTATTAGAATGTCTAACATGTTGGATTACGCATCCGATTTTCTCTCCTCAAATTTTTCATGATACTTGTCCTAGTTAGAGATATTCTGCCATGTGAGATCTTTTGACATGTCATTTGGGATAGATTCATAAAAATAATCTTTCTTTTTATTTCTCCTAAAGTCTTGTCTAATTTGACTAAGTTGACACATTTTTTCTCTCCATACTAGTTTGCTCGCTCCATACCAATTTGGGTTGAACATGCTTTTGTGGGTCAATACAAGATCTTTTTTCTTCAAGTAGGTCGACAAGCTAAGTCTACACATTTTCTCTCTCCTCCTAGTTTTATTCTAAAACCTTTTCTTTTACTCTAATTTGGTTCAACTTGACAGACATATATATATACATATCTTTACATCATAGGAGGCCTAAAAAATATATTTATATAGTATAGAAAAACTAGAAGAAAGGTTTAGATCTAGATTTATCAATTAATATCTTTAAACATATTTCACATATTTTTTTAAATTTTCAAAATCATTTAGCCCAAATCTCTTATTTTTAATGTTCACAAAATTTGATATATATTCCTTCTAACTTACTGATCCATTTTGCATACATACTCTGCCCAAGTATATACACATTGTTCTGCATTTTTCTCACTCTCTCTATCCACATAAAAAAGATAAAGAGATATGTTGACATAATCTAGTTCATCTTCAATTGCAACTACCTTACCTTCAATATTTCTTTACTCGTTCTTCAATATATTCTAGAAAGTTGAAAGTCCTTATTGAAAAGATGGTGAATGCTTTGTGGGTGAGAGGAAGGGAGGATTGG